CTTGCCAACTCCAGGACCTTCTCCTGATAGGAGAGACGTAGCCAGTAGAGCAGGGGTGGCATGGCACAGCCAGCATGGCATGGCATGGACAGCACGGTGCAGGTGGACCAGCACAGAGGGCATTGGCATGGATCGGCCACAGATGGTATGGCACGGGCAGCACAACATGGTGTAGATGGCGTGGCATGGATGGCATGGCACAGCACGCCAGAGAGAGCACGGCGTGGGCAGTAAGGCATAGACACGGTGGCAGCCACGTCCCAGCACCCAAGAGGAAACAGGGAAGGGGTGAGAAACACCAGCAGAGCCACACACAGGACCAAGCCCCGGGTCCCCGGCACCACCGGTGACACCTGAGGAGCTGCCAGTGGTGCCCAGTGCCTCTGGGACTGCAGCAGCATGCCCCAGCCCACAGCTTGGGCCAGCATCTCCCTGGGTCCTCTGGCTGGGGACAGAGGTGCAGAAGAAGGACTCGGGGCCCACAATACCTGTCCTGCGTCCAAGTGGAAGATGCCATCAACAGTCAAGCGGCTGTCCTGGCATGAGGGAGGGAGCATGATAACATTCAGGTTTCCCTCGTCCCAGTACGACCATTTCAGGCTAAAGGAGGGACTGGGCACACTGGGACAGAGATGGCAGGGGTGGCATGGAGGGCCTGGCGCAGGCGGGGGTGGGGGGAGACCCCCTCCCTTCCCCTGCTATCTGGTAACCCCCAGGAGCACCCCACAAATGAGTGGCCCGCGGGGGCGTAGGGCAGGATCAGCCCAAGACCTCAGCACCCATCTGGGTCCCGAGTGTGGCCGGTGGCTGGAACTGGGACCCCTGCTCCTGTCTGGTTCCCTGGGGACACCCTCGTCCCCTCCGTGCCCACATTCCCACCACTCTCACCTGGACCTCCTTCCCAGTGAAGAGAAGCTGCAGAGGGTCTTCGCTGCTGACCGCCCAGCTTTCCCCCGGCCCTGAAAACACTGAGCGTGGGGTGGTGCGGGGGTGGTCATCCCCACGTGCCCCAGCTCTGTCCCCCCTGCAGCCCAGGGCCAGGTCCCAGGGCTTCCCACTATCCCTGAGCCCTCACACGATGACCACTGTGCTCAGAGCCACCAGGGTGGGGAGGATGTCCCCTCCCCATCACCACCGCTCAGGCCAGCCTCACCAGCGTGGCCAGTGGTCCCAGTGCCACCACGGCTGTGGCTGCCACCATTAGCCCAGTGCCCTGGCATGCGGGTTCGGGCTGAAGGCAGGTGTCCCCAGCCCCAGCTCTACCTGCTGCCTGGTGGAGTCCCACAGCTGCTCGTACGGAGACATCCCGCTTGGCCTGCCGGGACACGGGGCAGAGGGGCAATGAGATGGGTCCTGCCCCATGCAGACAACGCCTGCCAGGAGCTGGGTCAGCCCCTGGGGAGCTGGGCAGTGTCTGGCCATGCCACAGCGAAGGCAGGGGACAGATCCCTCCAAACCACCCTGTGATGTCCCCCACAACGGCACTCACCTCCCCAGCGTCCATGTCCAGCTCAGTACTGGCAGCCCTCGAGCTGCTGTTTCGGAAGGGGCAGGGGATGGGGTTACACGGGGGGATCGTGTTCCCCTGCATTATTGATGGGTGTCGGGCACAGCCGCGTGGGCAGAGCCAGGCGGGGACCGAGTCCAGCCTGGAGGCACCATGTTCTGGAGGCTGAGCCCCGCTGGCCAAGGAGTCAGGCAGGAGGCAGGCAGGAGCTGGGACCCACTCACACCATTGGCATGCTCCTGGCTCCAAGAGGGACATCTTTGCAAGCACAGGACAGGAGATAAGGGACCTTGGACTGTCATGAAGGTTTTTCTAGAGACCAGAAGCAACCACAAACCACAGAATCACATTTATTGGAGATCAGTCATGCCAAGAAAGCACAAAAGGAAATGGTGAAGCTGAGGCTCTACAGGGTCTGTGGAAATACCGACTGTGGGAGAGAGGTCCCAGGACAGCCCCGCCCCTTGCATTTGGGAAGGACCAGGTACAATGAGGAGGCGCACATGTCCCTTCACCTGCCACTGCTGCCCCTACAGAATGAGACTACAACACCGCGCCTGCCTCCCTGCACCTCTGCCTGCCCAAATGTCCTCAGACATGAGGGTGATGCCAGGCTGGACATAATCCACCATGGCACCTGGGCCTCCATCAGGAGCAGGGTGGGGTTGTGCCTCACATGGGTGCTGCTAAGGGAAAAGAAATCCTTGGACGCTGAGGCACAGCGATTCCTCCTTCCCCATCCATTAGACAGCGGCTGCCGCCCCGTGTTGCCAGGTCCATCCAGGAGCAAGGCTGAGCACCAGTGCCCAAGGCGCAAATGCAGCCACCTGGTGTACGCAAGTCCCCGTGGTCAACACAAGCAGAGTACCCATCTAACCACCAATGGCGCTCCCACAGACACCAGCACCTGGGTGGCACGGCCCCATCCCTCCCCTCCAGCCGCTCCAGGCAGACGTGGGCTGGTGGGACAATCCCACACCCACACCCGTGTGCCCTCCAACACGCAGCAGACCCCAAGCCCACCACGGACCCACGGCTGGACCCTGGGCCCTGTTTAGCCCCTCTCCAGCTCCAGCCTTATGTCTTTCCACGCTCCAGTTTCCCACCCATCAGCTAGTCCCGCCTGTGTTTCCTCGCAGGTCACAAACAGAATAGAGTGAGGTGACACAGAGAATATGCAGGAAGAGATTTTAATGAGAAGGCAAGACAGACCACGGGGACGAAGCGCTGGCCAGCCGAGCGCTGCCTACCTACGACCAGCCCCCTTCTTCCTCGTCCCCATCTCCCCGTGCTTGCTTCCCCACCCACCCACCGTGATCCTCCCTTTGATCCTTCCCATAAGCGCTCTCCCTCAGCATCCCATAATCAATTTTCTCTTTACTATGAGACATCTTCTGAATGACCCAGAATAAACTCGGATTCTTCTTATCAGTTAAAAAGTTTCCGGTTGAACCTCTTCAAGTCCCACTTGAGGGGTTCGTCCACCAGTGCTTTGAGAGCTCAGGCCTTGGTTGCTGTCTCTGTTACCTCCTGCTCGTTAGTGTTTGTGTATAGGGTGTTTAATTTACTCGTTTTCCTGTCTTTTGTGGGTTTTCTCTTACGCTGAATAGCAGTTAAGCAGACAAACATCCCCACAGCCACAGATGAGGAGAGGTGGAGGGTCAGCAGAGGGGCTGCAAGGAGGGCTGGGCTGGGGGGCACAGGGCTACCGGCTGGTGGAGAGGCTCTGGGTGGGGGCCACCGGACCCCAGTGAGGCTTGGGGCACCTGGGCAGCCGCACAAAGATGCTGGAGCCGAAATCCTCTTGTTCTGGGCGGGTGACATCACAGGGGCGATGGGTGCAGCGTCGGGGCTTGGGGCAGCCAGAGTTGGCCATAAGGGAAACCCCTCTGGGAGGGCGCAGCCGTGGGGCAGAGCGCGGCAAGGGGCTGTGCTTGGGGGTTTCCCCGAAACTTGGATGGGCAAAGCCACAGCCACTGTGGGATAAATGCTGAGGACAGTCCTGCTCTGCTGGGGATCCTGGACTGGGGACACGCAGGGAGACCCTCACCAGCATTTTGGGGGTCCTGTGAGTCTTCCCACGGAGCTCCCGGCCTTGCAGTCCCTGGGGCTGAGCCCCTGTGGGGAAGCACTGGTGGGAACGGTCACACGTCCCCTTCAGACTCTGCGGCAGGGCCGGAGGAGCCCAGGCCTGGACCTGACCAGGCAGACGGCCCCGGCCACGCCGAGCAGGGCGAGGGCAACGCAGATGGGGGCAATCACCGCAGCACTGTTACACTGCAGCACCGAGACCGGCACGTCCTTCACCAGCCTGCCCTGGTAGCGAGGTGGGGAGCGACACGTGTAGTCCTGGGGCCACCCCTGCCCAAGGTTCCCCATGCCTGCCAGTGCCTGCAGCCCCCCAGCCCCGGAGCAGGAGCAGTTGTAGAGGTTGCCAGCCGCAGTCACATCCCGCAGGTGCCCCAGGAGCTTCACCTCATCCCATGGCAGCTCCGTAATCAAGTTGTTGTCTAGGTGGAGGGTGTCCAACATGGGGTAATTCCTGATGGAGGGGACAGTCTGCAGCATGTTTTGGCTCAGGAAGAGCTTCTTCAGGGAGCTGAGGGAGATGTCTACAGCACGCAGGTGGTTGAAGCTCATGTCCAGCACTTCTAGACCGGGAGGCAGGGGTGTGAGGACTTCATCCACGCCAGTGTCAGACAAATTAAAAATTCGGAGGGACACTGGCCACTGGCAGGAGGAGGATGGGTCTGCCATGAGCTGGTTCTGGCTGAGATCTAGATGCTGAAGCTCGTGCAGCAGCTGCACGCTTTCGCACACGCTGTGGTAGGACGTCAGGTTGTTGCGTTGCAGACTCAGTACCTGGAGCTGAGGGAAAGCCCCGTTGCAGAAGGCGGGCATCAAGCTCTCATCCCCGAGGCTGTTTTGTGCCACATTCAGGGAACGCAGAGCTTGGAACATCCTTCCGATGCCACAGGGCAGGCTGGTGACGTGGGAGCCAGTGACAGCCTGCTCCTGCAGGGTCTCCAGCCAGCTGCTCAGACTAGAGAGGTCCTGCTCGCGGCCCGTCAGCGGGGCAGACGTCACGTTGTGGAAGCGCAGGGACAATATGGGCAAGTGCTGGTCGGCCATTTCATCCCAGTTGCCTCTCCCCTTGAAAACGCAGCTCTCAAAAGCCAGCTCCTGCACCCGAGTGTAGGAGAAGAACCTCAGGACTCGGGCGAGGAGTATCTCAGGCACCAGGAGGTCACCAAAAATTATTTTTCTGATGCCAATGGAGCCCAGCATCTCAGCAGTGGAGGGGTCCGGGTCGCCGATGGGGAAGGCTACGTATCTCTCCAGCTCTCCCCCCCGGAACTCCACGACAGAGGCTGCGAGGCACTGGATGATGCTGCTTGCGCTTTCCTGGGACAGGTTGTAGCACACACAGTACTCCTCTGTGCGATTGAAGAAACACCTGCCTTCTGCCTCCAACAGCCCCAGCCGCAGGAGGAGGAGGAGGAGGAAGAGAGACACATTCATGGCGCACAACCTAGAAACCAGGAGAGCAACAGTGAGAGGTGGCAGCACTCTTGTGGCAGCTGAGGGGACCGTTCAGCTCCAGCTGGCTTTGGGCAGGGTCAGCCCTGGAGCGCCACTGTCCTCATCCCTCCTGCCCAACTGGGTCCATCGCACCCCCTCAGCAGCCGCCTGGCCGCTCAGCCGTGGCACAGGGCAAAGCTCAAGTGACCGGCCAAACACCCAAGAGCTCCCCGGCAGGGTGTTGGTGGCACTGGTCTCACCCCACCCCAAAAGCAAGGCAGGGTGGCTCCTCCTGAGCCAGGCTCCGCGCTTTCCCACCTGGGCTGCCTCGCTGCAGACTCCCAGTGTCTAAGTGACCAGGAAATCCTACGGATCACAATGAAACTAGAATAATCGAGTTTATGGACAGGGAAGCCAAACAGATCCGTCTGACCGCAGGATGGGAGAGCCACAGCTCTGTTTGCTCCTCTGCATGACACGCGCGGCAATCTGGGGCAGGAAATTGCAACAGAGGGCTTCATATTTTCCTTTCTCAGCAACCTGATTCATTACCAGCCTCCACGGGGACAGCAGAAAATAATTGCTGGGAGTCTGTATGCATCCCTGTCAGCATCAGGTATTGCTTTGCTGCCCAGCTGGAGGGCAAGTCTTATCAAGATTGCACAAAAAAAAACAAAAACAAAAACAAAAGCAACAAGCAAAGATTAAAGGCTCCTAAGAATGTGCTGACTCAGCTGTGTCCAAACACCCCAGACGGGGCGGTGGCGAGGAGTCTCTGGTGGTCTCCAGTCCAGCCTCCTGCTTCGAGCAGGTCTGTTGCCAGTACTAGCCCCCATCAGCCAGAGCTTTTTCTGGCCACATCTCAAAAATCTCCGAGGATGGAGCTCTCCCTACCTTTCCATGTCCACTCTCCCGGGGAGCAGCTCTCGTCCAGCACTTGCGCGAAGTCCCCCTCTCTGCGAGGGCAGCACGAAGCCGGGGTAAGTTTGTCCAGTGACTCACCCGCCAGCTCACACCGAAACGTTACCTTACCCCACCACTGCTTCCTCCACCCGCTGCCAAATTCAGGGCTGCGCTGCCAAATCCAGGGCTGCACTGCCAAAGGCACTGAGAGTCCTCAGCTCTCTCCCGCGCCTGATCCTGCCCTGCCTCCGGCTGGATGAGACCTCGGCGCCTGCAGGTGTCTTCCCGCTTCCTTTGGGGCTTCCGCAGCCCGTCCTGCCCTGCCTGGAGACCCTCGGGGCTGGAGGGCACCTGGTGGCAGTGCTGCCGGGCGCTGCCCTTGCTCCGGCTGCGTGACTTCCTGAGCAGGACGGGGACAGCTGTGCCACTGGAAGCCACGCGCCACGCAGCAACCGCCCCAGTCACTTCTGCTTCGTCTCCCTGCAGCAAAGGGATCTTGCAACCGCCCGCTGGGACCTGGGGAGGTCTGAGCGCCACTGCTGCTCGCTCTGCCAGGGAGGATGAGGGAAGAGTGTGCGGTCCAGGTGCCCTAAATACACTCTGGGGACCAGCCCAAACACACCTTTGCTTCCAGATGCTCTGGGCTTGCTGTGCCCACTGGGTGCTGAGCACCCTGCAGGAGGCAATGCAGAATGGCACAGGGCTGTCATACCCCGTACCCAAACCATCCCCACATGCCTGTGTCCCGTGTCGGATGGGGACAGGACACATTCCCATGTGCTGTATGTGCAGCCCAACCCTGCAAAGGGCACTTCTTCACCCCAAGGTGGGCTTCCTTGGCAAGCTGGCTACTCGGCTTGGCCTGAGGAACTCACATCACTTGCCCCATGCTGCTCTGGCAGCTGGTGGCTGTGCCTACACCACGATATAAACGTTCTCCATCAATGAGCAGAGACCACCAGGCATTTGGAAAGATCTGCCAGGGATTTTTAATTCCCCAGGGATTTCTCTACCTATGTCAGGTTTCAGAAAGTGCTTCAGAAAGGTAACGAAACCGCACAGCTAGAAGATGCAATTCTCAGTCTGTTGTTAACATGGCATTAGAAAGAGCCGCTATCGCTGCGACGACAGCTGGGGCAGGAGCCGCCTGTCCCACACGCACTGGCGCTCTGCTGCTGGGATGGGTGAAGGGAAGGTCTCCTTTTGGTCATTACATCTACCACAGCTCCTTTTCTCAGCCCCGGCATCCCAGGCAGAGGGCTGCACTGCTTTGCTGCCTTTCCTTGAGCAATTCCATGTGCAGAGAGGTTCAGCAATTCCATCATTCCTCTTCCCCATCCTCAGCTTACACAAAACTGCTGCTTGTGTGCATCATGGAAAAATCGTAGTGGCCCTTCTAAGTTCTCTTCGCTACGCCTTTGGGAGAGGTCAGCAGCTCTGTCTGGGCCCGGTAACTTTTAATTGCTCATTCCTGGCCACCAGCGGCAACTTCCCCCAAATGCCTTTTTGGGGAAGAGTGAGCCCTTCCTTCTCCTCGGTGGCCAACCACACCCCAGTACAAAAACATGGGTGTTTGGAGCCACCTTTTGGGTGATTACTTCCTTCTTCTCGTCACCACTGGGGGAGATGCCGAGATGCCAAGACCTCGTTGTATTATGTTTCTGTCGAGTCTCTGGGCTTTTTGGGCAACAACGAACATGCAATCCAGCCCAGTGCGTGTGGGCAGAAACCTCACCTGAGCCCGGAGGCTGCCTGGTTTCAGCCCTGCAGGGCTATTACGGTTTGAGGAACTCACAATTCATTGTTGTTTAGACAATCATTCCATCACCTGATGAGGCCCCCCCACCCGGGAAGGGGAATTGGGAAAAAACAAGGAAACCTGAGTGTTGAAATATAAACAGATTTAATAGAATAGACTAGATAATTAACCTTAATAATACTAAAGAACCAATATGGATCCTGTTACCAATACAGAATATGCAAAGATTATCCTCAGCCCATTCTATCAATCAGTAGAAGCTGTGCACTCCCAGCAGTGGACAGTAAATATCAGACACTGCCAGCGCTGCGGCTTCGGGAGGAAGGGAAGGGCTCAGGGCTCCGGCACCGGGGC